TATCTTTACAGATTGACCTATATTCTTCGGGGGCTACCAGTGACGTAGATACTCCTTCAAAGGTTTCTTACTGCACTATCCAAAGTTATCAAAAAATAAATACTCTCTTTTCTGTCCACTTTGTGTTGCAAATGCTCAGCATCAAAGTTGCCTCTGCTTTGGCGAGCATTGCCGTCAGGGATCTAATAGAAATTATTAGCTTATTTTATTTGATCCTTCATACATGTAAGATATTATTCCCAAAATTTCGAGAAGCAATGATCTCTGCTTTAAATGCCTCCCTAGAAAAAGCATCTATGGAGACTTGAACACGTGCCCATGCCTGAACGTAATACTGAAAATTACTTAGATTGTATTCCATACTGCAACAGTTAAAAAGTCACATTTGTTTAAACATACAGCACCCTTTTTATTATTTTTTCCCCTGCAAGCTTGGGGAGAGCTGATGTACTCTATCATTCAGGGATACCTCCCTGGCAAATCGGTTGGGGTCGAATCCCCACAAACAGTGTCCAAAACTGACACAAGACTCGAGTAGGCAGCAGAAAGAACCACTGAGCTATTTTCAAACCTGTGGTGAACAACGCACTGCAGCTGACCCACACCAGGGTCTTAGCAATGGATTAGGAGGTGAGCTCAGCTAAGGGATGCTGCAGCTGTAAAACTTCTGAGACAAAATTAAAATGGAGCAGGAAAAAGGGTGAGCGAGAGAGAAAAGTTGCCCTGATAGTGGCTGAGCTGTCAGGAGCATGTGTGTTTCCATGGTGAGTGATTTATTGATGTTTATCAGGAATGAATAGATCAAAGGCTGCCAGATGACAGGCGATCAATCACACATCAAATCAAGGATGGCAATCCTCTAATAAAACAGAAAACAAGGAAAACCAGCTCCTGCCAGTTCCTCCTCCAGAGAAAAATAACTTTTCTGTTCAATCAGATTCTGCACTATCACTGCCTTGTGCTGGCCTGATCAAAAGACATCTTTAGAGGTAATAAAAAAAAAAAAGTGGTGGTGGGGGGAGCCTCTTGCCCAGGACATTAAAGCCTGCTATTTTCCAGAGAAATCCCCCGACCACATTCCTTGCGTCCCAGGCTGGTGACCTTATTTTCAAGTGTCAGGTTCAGCCTCCCCGCCTTTAGAGGACTTTGCCAGCGCGCGCAGGCCGCCGAGGAGCAACTTCTTCCCCCCAGCGCACGCCCCCTCCCGAGGTGGCCAGAAGCACCGGCCGTCCGCGGCCCCGGCCTCCCCGGCCCGTCGGGGCTGCTCAGAGCGCGGAGAGGCACCGCGAAGTTTCTCCGCTCCACTCGCCGGCCCAGGTGGGAGGACGGAGCGGCAGCCTCGGGGCCAGCGTGGCCGGGCGCGGGCCGGGCCTCCCTCCCCAGCTGTGGACCGCCCGCAGCAGCCCGCAGGGGGAGTGCCGCCCGCGGCCCACGCTCCGCGGCCCACGCCCCGCACGGCGGCCGCCGAGCACCCCCCGCGCCTGCTCCCCCGGCCCCGCTCCCCACGGCGCGGGCCGCGCGCCCGTTACCTGCCGAGCGCCGGGGGGCCTGCTGCTTCCTCCTCGGCATGCTGCTCGGGCCGCCGCAGCCGTCGCCTCAGCCGCCGCCGGAGTTCGCGGGGCGCGGGGACGCGGGGCCCCGGGCGCGGGCGCAACTCCGCGGCGCGCCCAACTTTGGCCTCGTCCCCGCGGGCTCCGGGCTCCGGGCGCGCCGCGGACCGCGGGGCGCCGCTCGCATGGACGGCCGTGCCCGGGGCCGCTCAGGAGGCGGCGGCGGCGGCCGCGCGAGCCGCGTCCCGGCCGCCGGGCTGCGGGCGGAGCGCGCGGGGCCTGGGCGCCGAGCCCGGAGTCATCCCCGGCGCGGGCCGCGGGCGCAGCGGCGGGCGCTCGGAGGGCCGGCCCGCGGCCCGCGCTCCATGCTGCCGCCTCCCCGCCGCCGCGCTGCTGCTGGCGGGCGCTCCTCCCGGCGCCGCTCCGGGCGCTCCCCTGCGCCTTCCTCCGCGAGCCGAGAGTCTCCGAGCGCAACTTTCTCTCCCCCTCTCTCCTCGCGGTCCGGGGGTCGCGGCGAGTGTTTTCAGTGCGCGGGTCGCAGCTTTCTCATTGTGCGCCAGCGAGGCCGATCCAGGCTGTCCTTTTCCTCCCCGCACTTAGTCTAAGAGGAAGAAAGCAAACAAGACAGAGGAGTGAAGCCCCCGTACATACATGCGCCGGGGGGAGATGTCAGGCGCTGCTCCACCTTCCGAACAGTCACAGATCAAACAGTGTCACCCCGCCGGAGCGCCACTTGGTGCCCCGCGCTCCCCGCGGGGCTTTGCCGCCAGGATCGCCGCTTCTTCCAATGCGAAATCTAATGCAAACACATTTTGATCATGGATTTTTGGCCGGTCTTGATCTTCCAACAGAAAGATTTTGAAAAATACAAAAAAGCACCCCCCCTCAAAAAAAAAAAAAAAGCCAACAACAACAACCCGGAGAGTGTGTGCAAAGGGGTGAAGAGCAGACATTCACTGGGTGGGCGAGATGAGCGTGGAGTATCCCCCCCAAACTCCTGGGAGAGAGGGAGATGCACTCTCGCTCTCTCCTCTTTTCAGTGAAATATAACACACATTCGGATCGCAGAGCTTTCAGACAGTCTCAACTGATAGACAGACACATCGAGCTGCTTTTCCTGCTTCAGTTTTTACTCCTCCTCCTCTCGCCAACGTCACCCTGACAATTACAAATAGGTCTCTCACAAACCATACCTGTCAATCTTTTTAATTGCTTTGTTTTCTTTTTTTTTTTCCCGGAGCTAAACAATATGACACAAAAAAGAAATCTTAATACAGCATAATATAAAAGATTGCACATTGGAGAAAGACATTGAGGGGTTTGTTATTGTAATCCACTGGCCGATACTGGGTAAAACCCATGTGTTTCAAGCCAAGTTAAGTAGACTCTAGCTCCTGCAGATTTTTAAACCTGTTAGTACCACCCTCCCACCTTGTACACGCACCCACGTGGACACAAACTACCCCTGGCTGAAGAATGTCCTACATTTGAGATAAATACTCTGTGATACTTTTGCAATCTTAGTTTGGGGGTTACATTTGACTGGGGAGGGACGCTGTGTGGCTTTTCTATTTTGGTAATTCATGGGTCAGTGGAAAACAAGAGGATTTTTTCATTAATATGTATATCTTTAATAAAAATGTAAAGGTAGACTTAGCTCCTCACACAAAAATGTGGAAAATATTTAATTTGGTCTCTCTATGAAAAGTGAATTGATTATTTGGACAATACAGACAATTAGGAGAAAAACTGACACGATGGAACTGCAGATCTTTCTAGCTGGGTTACAAAATGAGGTCTTCACACATCATTGCAACGTCTGCAATCCAATTAAGTCCCTCGGCATCCCCACCTAAAACTTTAAAATGTTTATGTGTCCTGGGAATTTGGCTCTCTGATTTCCAATATGTGTGTTCCCTCCCAATGGGAAACCTGTAACAGTCTCGTAGAGGCTGCTTAAAACATTCATGGAAACACAAGAAATCTAGGCCAAAATAAATAAAACGGCTTAGTTCGTGCAACTTGCATGGGACAGACTGAGGGCAGAAGGCACGGGCAGGCCGTTCCGGGGCCAAGGGGCCAGGAGCCCGGGGCGCAGGGTGCACTGGGCGCCCCCGGCCCGCGTTCGGTGCTCGAGCGCCCGCACTGGTGGTGGGGGCTGCCCGCCCGGCACGGACCCCGGCCGTGCCCCGCCGCCCCGGCCGCGCTCGGGGTTGATTCGTACCACCTTGCAAGGAAGTGAACGCTTCGCACGGGAAGGGGAGGCGCCTGCGCCGGCCTCCGGGAGCCGCGCCGCTCCGAGGACGCCCGGGGCTGCCGGCGGCTCGCGGCCGCGGCGGTCGCGGGACGCGCGCGTCCCCTCGCCGCCCCCCTCACCCTTTCAGAGGAGTCAAATCCGGCTTTTAGAGCTTGGGGAGGGTGGAGATATCCGGTGCCTCCCGGGCGCCAGGAGGAAGGGGGAGGGCGAAGAGGATCCTTGGCCAGTCTGCGCCGAGCAGATTCAAACCAAAACAAAAAGATTAAAGGAGCAGCGGCCGGGGCGGCAGCGGTTCTGGGCCGGGACCCCGGGAGTGGTGCGCCCGGGAACCAAGGGGGCTGCGCGGACTCCCGGAGCTGTGCGCGGCGGGGCGGGAGGGGGGAGCGGGAGCCAGGCGTAGTGGGGAAGGGGGGGGAGACGAGGGGAGGGCGCAGGCCGGAGGAGGGGCGGACCCGCCCGCTCCGCCCGCCCGCGCAGAGCTGAGCCGAGCCGATCGGCCCGGGCTGGGCGCGACCCCGGCCAGCGGCGACGCAGAAAGCGGGCGGAGGCGCGGGCTATGCTGCGGCTAGTGCCCGCCGGGGCCCGAGCCATCGTGGACATGTCGTACGCCCGCCACTTCCTGGACTTCCAGGGCTCCTCCATCCCCCGCGCTATGCAGAAGCTGGTGGTGACCCGGCTGAGCCCCAACTTCCGCGAGGCCGTCACCCTGCGCCGGGACTGCCCCGTGCCACTCCCCGGGGACGGAGACCTCCTCGTCCGGAACCGGTGAGCCCGGCGCGCGCCCCACGCCCCGGCCCGCGCTGCGCGTCTCCCAGGCTGTCCCAGGCCCGCCTGCGTCCCCACACCCCGGCGCGCGCTCGGGCGCAGAGCCTGACTTTGCGAGATCCCTGGAAGTTGAACCCGCCGCCATCTGGCGAAGGCGAATGTAATGTGACTGTTGCTGGTGAGAATATCCGATGCCACCGAACGTCCTCATAACTGAGGGTTATTTTAATTTGGGATTCCCCTCCCCTCCCCCAGACCTCCCTCCTCCCCCTCCCGCTTCCGAAATAAAATCAACAGGACCCAGAAGGGGAGGCTTCCCGCCCGGCCCACCCGCGCGCACCCAGGGCTCCTGCGTTCACATAATCTTTAGGGTGGAGCAGGAACAGCCTGGACACCAACTGCGACGTTTAGGTAACGTGCTTTGGAGGAAGGAGGCCGGGGACCCCGCTGGCTTTTCCAGTCCGCTCCAGGTTGTCAGCCGCCTGGCAATGGCGGAGCCTGTTGTTGGGTGTGTTGGTGTGCCCCTCGCCGGTGTGGTCTGCCTGTTGTCAGTGCTGTGTGGCTGTTGTCTGTGCCCCGGAGTGTAGCGACGGGCGCGTGGCGCGCATCCAGGGCGGCTGGACAAGGGTCAGGGTGGGGGCATGGCTGTCTTTGCAGACCTTCGACACTCGGGTCGTTGCCGATCTTCTTACTATCTTTTCCACCTCCACACTCCTCGTCTTAATGTGTTTCTATCTCACTCATCTTTAGTAACTGGTGAAGCAACAGGAAGGAAAGGGACCTCACTCTGTCGGAGCTATGCCTGTGGGTCTCTGCTCCGTGGGTCCCCTCGCTGCCCGACTTGCGGGCGGGGTGTTCCCGGTCCGTCTGTCCCCTTCGAAGAGCAGGACTCGCTGGTCTGCTCAGTCCCCCGAGGGGTTACAGTGTTGCATGTTTCAGGTTGAATAATACTATCGAAGGGAGGAGTAAGTTTTGATTGTAACTATGTTATAAATTGTGTGCTAGCAAGTACTGTAAGTCCTCTGCAAGGACTGGAGGACAGAGTGTACCCTGCCGACGTAGCGTGATGCAACCTTTAATTGGTCCGTTTTAGAGATTCATATCAGCCTTCCAAACAAGACTGTACAACTGAAGAATTCTGATTATGACATAAAACTTTTGGAAACCTGTTGGAAACATAAAAATTGAGTGAGCCCAGGCTGCGATTGAGTGGAGGCTGGGGGGTCAGTGGTGGCGGGGTGTGCCTTAAACGGTGGGATGTGTGCCTCCTTTAGAAAGTTTGCGTCGGTGGAAGGGGCTGCACAGGATTTCTTCATTATGCGCTGTGACACCCAGGCTGTGGACATAAGGACATGCATCCTGCTAGGCTAAAAAACAGGGCTCGTGTGTGTTCACGAACCTACAAAACACAGGAGCAATTTAAGAGAAGTTCAGATGAGACCCAGGCTGAAAAGCCTGCAAATAGACTTTAACAGGCAAAGTTTCACACAGGCTTTTTTTCTTCTTTATCTGATGAAGTACAATATTGACTGTGAACACTGATGTAAACACACACACAGACAACTGCTAGAATAAAATCCCTTTTAGAAACAGAGTGTGAAATAGGGCGGAGGCGACTGAGCGGGGCAGGCGGGGGAAGGTGTGAAGTTAGAGCACTGCCAGCAGCAGCGGAGTGGGACCACCCGTCACGCCGCGGTCGCCTTTGGTGGAGGCAGCACGGGGATCCTGGCCTCTACCTGCGAGTGTGCGTCAACTCCTGGGGTCCTCCCCTCCCCTCCTCAGACTCCTGTCCCTTCAGTCTCATCGTGGCCCCTGGCTTTCCCTTCCCGGCTGGGTGCCCGAGCACCCCCACGCCCCCTTCCCGCGGCCCCCCCACAGGGCGCTGGGTCCCAGAATTCGGTGGTCAGAGCTCTAGAGTGCCGGCTCCCTGGTTTGGAGCTTATCAGTTTGGGTTGCTTTAAGATCCATGCCTCTATTTTCCTTCCACGTATGCCAATAGAAATAGTATATTTATATGTACAACTTGACCTCTAACTTCTGCCTTGAAGTCCGCAACAGACAGAGAATGGGGCCGAATTGCTGCGTGTTGGGAGTGGGCAAATCTTTGCCTCCCCTTTTTCCTCTGTTGGAAAATCGGCTCCTACCCCCAAATTGGAGGGAGATCCTTTATTCTTGCAAACGGTGTCAGTGGAGGTGGCATTTTACCGATTTTATTTTTAAGAACAGAGGCTTTAGAATTCACTGCAGTTGAGTTCATTTTAATCCTAGACCACATCTCCGCTGAGCAGTGTTAATTGCATGAAAATTTTATGCCAGCACATCTCATTTGATCGTGGTAAAATCTGTTCTGGACTGAATGGATTAAGCCCAAATTCACTTGTTGGGAAAGGTATTTTGGAGGTTTTCCTTGTGCTCCGTCTGACTTTTTCCTTCAGTTGATCCATTTGCACATCTCATTCCATCTTAACAGAAAATACAAATTCTTTATTCACAGGGAGGGAAGCGCTTCTAAACTAGACATCGATGTAGGATAATCAAGTTTACCATTTAGGAAAAGTGTGGGAAGGAGCACATAAAATCCCTACAGAACCTAGGACTGAAGTCCTTTATCCAGTTCCCACCTTCCGCTTCATGCGTCCGAGGACAGCTCCCATCTCCCGCTCGATGCCCAGCCGGCAGAAAAGAAAAAGAAAGGGAGCAAGCGCCACCGTGAAGTCCCCGTGCGCGCTATTTTTAGCTTTTTTTCGTACAATAGTGACACATTATTTCGTTTCCAAATATTTCTAACGATTTTCTGCTCAAGTGTAAGATGATGGAGCAAAGAGTTTGTAGGAATGACCAAGACGAGCTGGGGGGTGGGGAAGGCGTTCTTGATAAACGGTTTGCTGCTCACAGGAGGGTAACTATTTCTGCTGACTCTCCAGGCCGAGAATTTTTTTTTTCTTTTTCCCTTCTTTCTTTCTTTTCTTTTCTTTCTTTTTCTTCTTTCTTTTTATTTATTTTTTTTTTAAGGAAGGTCTGGTTTGGACAACTTTGTTTCCCAGTGTTGAAGGCTTTTGCTGTGGACTTGAGTTTGGTTTTTGTTCAGAGGAAAGCGTTTCCCTCCCTCTGAGGACTGCCCTCTTTCACAATAAACATGACGAAGGGAGTCAGGACTTTTTAGGGTAAATAAACCGAGTGACTCTGGAAGGGTATGTATTTGGGGAAAGCCGAACCGGTCCCGTTCTGTTTCCTGGATTTTAGTTCTGTTCCTCGATTTTAGTCTTTTGAGCGGATCCTCCCACCTGATCGCTAGCATCCCGCTCTCATTAAAAGCACGAATTTCAAATTCGTGGAGGAGGAGGGTACCAGGAGAGTCCCCAGTGCGCGCATCCTTCCAGCGCGCCTTTCCTCCTTTTCTCGCCTCTCGCCTCTCGCCGTCCCTGTCCCAGCTCCCCGACCAGGGCCCCCTTTGCCATGGCGCCTGCTGCTCTTGAACTTGTTTCTGGTGGAGCGGAAGGCGCGGCTCGAGACCCTCCCGCAGCTATTCCCAAAGCCCAGGTAAGGACGAGGGCGCATCTGGGCAGCGGCGGGTCCCCATCAGCCACGGCGGCCACGCAGCTTGAAATCGAGGGTCTGGGGACAAGCGGGGGGCCCTCATCAGGGGCTGGGCGACCCTGAAGAGGGCAAGGGGTGCGGAGCGGAGTAGCCGCAGGCTGTCGCCGCCGACCTGAGAAGACTTTACTGACGACGCAGGCAATTTAGAAGACAGCAGGGCGGTGGGGGAGGGCACGAAAACTGGGGGTGCATGCGAGGCCAAGGTCACAATCCGGCCGCTGGCGGGCCCCAGTCAGACGGCCGCTGCGCTCCGGTGCGCCATGCGATCGGGCCTCCCCAAGAACTTGACGGCCCCTGCGCCCCAGCTACACAGCCAGAAGGAACTGGGCGCGCCCGCCGGTACCCCCGCCTGGCCCAAGGAGGCCGAGATCACTGTTGTGGCCTGGCCGTTGGTCCCTCCACCCCAGTGCCGGGTAGCCGGTGCGGCCCCAGCCCGCTCCGGGGGTCGGAGGTACTGCTACTGCCGGCTCCTCTCGGTGGTGACGGTGGAGAGACCGCGGGCAGGGAGGGTCCGGCCGTCAGCGTAGGCTGGGCACTTCCGAGGGGAGATGGTCCCAGAGGCACCGATTTCTGGCGCCCTGCAGGCTGGCCCGGGCTCACCGAGGGTGCCGCTGGGGAGTCAGAGAGCTGGACGCCGCCAGGACCGGGCGCGCGGCGGGCCCTTCGGGTCTCCTGCACCACTCCAGCTCGACCGCAGTGTTGGATTTGGTTTTTAAGCAAAGCTCCCATGGTAAACTCAAGCTGCAGCTGGTCGGCTGCAGCCACCCAGCTCCCAGCAGAGTCCTACTCCCCCAACCCCGGCCTGCCCCTTGCTCCCCCCTCTGGCGCGTGTGCCCTCTCTCCTCGCTTTTCTCCGGGGCGTGTGCCCTGCACCGTCTGGCCACCTCTCTCTGGGAAGTGGCAAAGCACAGCCGTGGGCTTCGGGGGGGGGGCGGGGGGCGTTTTCCACCAGCAGCGCCTTCCCGGTCGCAGGCCCCCCAGGGCGCGCCCGCTCCGAGGTGGGGGAGACCCAAGGGGCCGACTGCCACGGGCGTAGAGGGGGGTTCCCTCCAAGTCCAAGGCGAGGGCACCCCACAGAGGAATGGCCTCTTCAGTTGGACTGCAGAAACACCACGGGGGACAAGACGGGAGGGGGGAGGGGCGAGGGGCATGGGGCTGGAGGTCGGGCCTACTCCCCCACCTCTAAGGCAGACTCCACCGTCACTTCCACCCCACTGACGCCTTCCTGGGGTTTGCTTTACAGCCTGGAGCAGGGCGACCGAGAGAGGAGACGCTCTGGCTGGGCTCTGCCCTGGCTGCCTTCTGTGCAGTCCAGCAGCGGCTCTCGGAAAGCTAGAAGACTGGGCCTTAAGAATTATGTAAATTGAAAAGAAAGATAACACCCCACCCCAAAAAAAGAATAGAATGTAGGCATCTTGGTATTAAATGCCAAATGAGAAACGAGCAAAATTCATTTTTCCCACTTCTCATTATTTTGTATCGTTTATGGGTATGGAATTCTGTAGGGTATTATTGAGGCTGTGTGGTATGCTAACTTCTGAAAGCAGCTTGACATGCCCAAAAGAAATTGTTTCCTGCTTTCTTATTTCTCCAATATGTAGAGAGCTTTCAATGTTGTAGATATACAGAGCATAATCATAAGGGAGCATTTATAAGTGCAAAGTATTACCTGTAGTACAGTGGAAGTGGATCCCAGCACAGGGCTGTTTTGGTTTATTAAGTTAAATTAAAAGTGAATTATTTTAAAATGACCTACTTACCAGCTTTCCTCCTGCCACCGCATACTACCATCTTTTCATTTCGTTACAGGTAGAAATGACATTTTTTGGGTCCTCCATTATGTGTCTAAGCGACCTCCTGACATCCTTTGTAGATGGCTTTTTTCCTTATGTATCCGGATATTTTTGTTATGAGGTATACTGAGATGAAAAAAGGCTGGTAAAAATACTGGCCCCACAATTAAATTGACTCTGGATACCAAAGTGAAAATAATCATCTGGTATTAATCAAGTTATGTCTCTGCTTCTTGTTGAGCAAAAATATAGTGACGATTTGCTTTCCTTTTCATCTGAAAAGGACTGTAAAATGTTGACTGTTCCATAAAAATTTCTCTATCCTTGTGAGACAATTTTTGTTCAATTAATCACAATGCATATTTTCACACTGGACGTAGTTACATCAGAAAGAAAATTCGCAGCAGCCACTCTAACAATGTTTTAAACAACCTCTGCAGGAACGTAACAACGGATGACCTTGCACATTACATCAATCTTTAATAATATCATTGTCATTACTATTATTATCTGAAGTGTTAAATTGTTGCCAAAATCAATACAAGTCTACTTCTTCGAATATATTTTATCCCACTGTTGTTTTTAACATCTTTGTTAAGAGGCCAATTAATTTCCAACTCACAGCTGGAGTGAAGTTTGTAGAATAGGGCTTCCTGACTTTTTTTTTTTTTTTTGGTTTATTTCTTTTTGAAAAAAAGCAGAGGGAAATAAATGTGAAATAGATAACTTGATGTTTAAAGTGATACGAAATTATTCCTAAACAGATGAAAGAATAAAATATACCAAAACTCTGATCGCAAATCCCTGCTGAACTAATACTTGTTTAATTTCTTTTTTTCAACTCAGTATCAGGACTAATTGTTTTGAATTTTATCAGAACATATAGCTTAGCCACCCCTTCCCAGTCACTGGAATTAGAGGAATTTTTCTAAGCAGAATATAAAGGCTTTGACGAAGAAAGCATCTTAATATATGTGTTTGTTTGTTTGTTTTCTTGTAGATTTGTTGGTGTTAATGCATCTGACATCAACTATTCAGCTGGCCGATACGACCCTTCAGTAAAGACCCCCTTTGATGTAGGTTTCGAAGGTGTGGGAGAGGTGGTGGCCTTAGGCCTGTCTGCTAGTGCCAGATACACAGTTGGCCAAGCTGTGGCTTACATGGCACCCGGCTCCTTTGCTGAGTACACCGTGGTGCCTGCCAGCATTGCAACTCCAGTGCCCTCTGTGAAACCTGAGTATCTCACCCTGCTGGTAAGTGGTGCCACCGCATACATCAGCCTGAAAGAGCTCGGAGCATTGTCGGAAGGGAAAAAAGTTTTGGTGACAGCCGCAGCTGGGGGGACGGGCCAGTTTGCCGTGCAGCTTGCAAAGAAGGCCAAGTGCCATGTAATTGGAACCTGCTCTTCTGATGAAAAGTGTGCTTTTCTGAAATCTATTGGCTGTAATCGTCCTATCAACTATAACACCGAGCACGTCGGTACTGTCCTGAAGCGGGAGTACCCCGAGGGTGTCGATGTGGTGTACGAATCCGTTGGGGGAGCCATGTTTGACTTGGCGGTAGACGCCTTGGCTATCAAAGGGCGCTTGATAGTAATTGGGTTTATCTCTGGCTACCAAACTCCTACTGGCCTATCACCTGTGAAAGCAGGAGCGTTACCAGCCAAACTGCTCAGGAAATCCGCCAGCCTCCAGGGCTTCTTCCTCAACCATCACCTTCCTGAGTATGGAGCAGCCATGGACCACTTGCTTCAGCTGTGTGCAAGTGGGGACCTGGTTTGTGAGGTGGACCTTGGCCATCTGTCTGCAGAGGGCAGGTTCACTGGCCTGGAGTCGGTATTCCGGGCTGTTGATTATATGTACATGGGAAAAAACACTGGAAAAATTGTAGTTGAATTACCTCACTCTGTCAACAGTAAGCTGTAAAAGCAGGACAATGACACAAATCAAAGGAGAAAGAAAATGGGCACTTTATGCCTCAGAATTACTCAAGTCAACTTATTTTTAGTTGGTAATGGAGCTATTTCTTAAAACAAGAGGAAGGTGTTAATAGGTTTTTCTTTCTCTTTTCTTTTCTTTTTTTTTTTCCTGCCCCTCCCTTGAAAAAAGAATGTCCTAATAAAACTTCCTTCAATGGCTCAGAGGTAAAACTTTTACATTCAAGTCTTCAGTCATGGACAGACTCATTCCAGATTTTATTGTTCCAGCGAACTAAATTAATTCCTGATGTGAGATCTGAGCAAATCAGTATGTCTTCAGCTTGATGAGATTTTAAAATCAGTCTTGAAAATGGTTCACAAATTCTTTGCTTTGGGAAAGTTTGCTCTTGTGCTAATAAGTAGTTAATAGATGAGAGGGATTGCAAAAGTCAGCCGCATTTCAGAGTCCATATTCTCAGGAAGTGGCCTTTTTTTTCCCTATAAATCATTAGCCAACTAGCTAAATAGAAATTTGGAGGAATTCTCCCAAAACTTTGATTTTGTTAAATTCTTTTAAAAAGTGATTAAGTGAACACAGACTTATTTTAAAGAAGTATCTCTTATTTAGTGGCTTTTGGGCACAATCCTCCTGGTGGGGCGTATGGAATGGAGAATTTCTCTCTTCCCTTCAGAAGCAAATTAGTATTGAAAACGTATAGACAAAAAGCAGGTTTTAGAAAGAGAAATTACAGAGATTCAGGGGACTTTAAAAACTTCATACCTGCATAGGAAAGGGAAAAGTATGTGCTCCAGCCACAGCGGGAGTCTCCGTAATGCAACTGTGCCATGCGTGTAAAAACACACTGCAGGCCTCCCGCCAGAGAGCCGCGCCAGCCGGAAGTGGGCTATGTCACACAGCGCCGTTTTCAGAAGGGGCCTGGGTGATCTTCAGTAAGAATGCAGTTGCTTCATGTTGTAGACGTGCGGACGTGGAAGGTGTGTTTTCTCTCCGACCATGGAAGCAGACTAGCGGCCACTGATCTTCCGTCCCCATTTTACTTCTCGCCGTGCTCTGGTGGAACGAGATGCTTCTTGTCACTCTCCCCCCGTGTCACACACACGCGAGTAACGAGTCATGCGCCTTCTCTTCTGAATCATGCCCCGAGCTGCTCCGCCTGCCTCCTAACCTTCAGCTCACCAAAGACTCCTCCAGCTTTCATGGTTGAGTTGGAAATCCCAGAGTGCCTTTCTAATGGAAGGCAAAACCCACCAGATTATTTTTCAAAGCCTTGGGTTTCAGTGTTTCGAACATGCTACACAAATAGGAACACAATTAAAGACGCCCCAGGAAACTTGGTGACCATATTTAGTTTTTCTTTCCTTCCATCTGAGGAGCAAGGAAATCCTACTGCTGAGTAGCTGTTAGTATCTATTTTACAAGATTTACTCATTTTCAGGTACCTAATGTAGCTGCTAGCATGCATGCACAACAATACAATTTATATGGTAAATGGGACCAAATAATGGCTTCACTGAATGTTATGGCTGCACTGAAGGCAAATGTCACGGTAAATAGCTGCCAAATTATGGATCATGCCGAAGTGTCACAACTGCACTAAAGACAAATAGCACTGGAGGCTATTGCCACTGTGATGCTTTTGAGTTATGAAGAAGAGTAGCAGCCTGATGCGAGGCTCTTTGTGTCCTCGTTATAGCAAAGGGTTACCAGTGCAGGGACAAGGGAAGCCGGTCCAGTGAGGGGCTCGGTTATTAATCTGTCCCTTTCAGACCTCACAGCTGTAGGAAAACGGAAAGGGACTTTGCCTGGCTTTCAGATACACAAACAAAGGGGAGGGGACAGGTGTTACGAATGTAACTGCACGGGAAATGCCTGGTCAGGGAGAAACATTGTAATCAGCTCATCAAAGAATATTATTAAATTTAACATAGTGTATGTTTGATAGGCTTAGCTGCTGCTTATGCAGAGAGACGTGTGAAACCTCAGCAATGATGCACTTTCCCCCTTTGTCAAGACTTGAGGAGTAAGGACGTTGCCAACCAAATTGCTTCTTCTAAACTGAAGCCCGTCCCGGTTTCTTTCACTTTAATGGGTGGGTAATAAAGATGAAAGACCAACATTTTAACTGATGGATCCCTTAAGCTACAGAATAGAAATTTATTATGTTTTGAAGGAATATACTAAATTCAGCTATGTAAAAAAAAATATTTCAAATACCCAGGTTTAAAATAAAATATAATCTGAAAACCTCATGCTCTCTTTCCCCAAACTGAGGAACTACAGTGCATACTGTTTTCATTTATTCTTAGAAAACAAGCATGAAAGATTCCGCCCATTCAGATAATGCCAAAAATATGTTTAAACTTTTTTTTTTGTTCTTCTGAAAAATGATTTGTAAATTGAGGGTCATAGTTCAGCATCAGTTTCATCTTCTGGGATTATCGTTCAAGACCAGCCGCTAATGGGAGGTGAAATGGTGCGATGCTCTCAACACCTTTCTTCTGAACTGCATTACATATCACAAAAAGCACATCCATAATTCAGGGCAATTGTCAGTCTTTGTTTTAGAGATGGGGCCGGGGCTGGATGATCACAGGGGATGAGTTATTTCTCGGTTCTCAGGGTGGCCTTTTCTGCACAGCAGCCTTGAGGCCCCTGGCTGGGCAGATGGAGGGGCTTGACTCTGGTAGGCGAACCGAGAAATGCAGGGTCCCAGCTATTCCTTACCATTCCGTTATGACTTCTAAAGAGTCAAATGCTGTTCCTTCAAATTTGTTTTGCATACAAAAAATACCAACAATGCCATTTCGGGTCCCTTTGACAATGACTTCTTCTATTGGCCCAATTCAGCATTAAAAAAAAGAAATTCAGGGAATAGTTTGCAAAGAGAGAACGCAGAAGTTTTGCACAATACATTCTATAAATTGTTCTTATATGATTTCATCTGAATGGAGTTCTCAGGGGTAGGACGGAGCCTCTATAAATGGTCATTAGTATTACATTCAGTATTTATCTAATGAAAGTGCAGTGACAAGTGGCTGCTTCTTATTAAAATGAAAATCCTGCATTATGTACTTAAGGAACATTCCAGCTAATGAGGATGTAATGTCCTCGGTACAACACAGACCTTCTTTTTGTGTTCACCACCACAAGATGCTGGAAACTTGACAAATGATATCATTTCAGACACATGCCTGCCGTAGGGACCTGCTTTTTGGCTTCCTGTTTCTGGCTTTTATTTGGGTAACATTTATAACGGCCACCCGACTTGTAACGGTAACGTTTTAACCCCTTCGTGGAGTTCCCAATTAGCGTGAATTTACTACATTCAGCGTTTCCTTTAAAAGGCGGTGGGAGTTCCTACGCCTGAAAATATTTCTCCTGATCACTTTATCACCCGTACATATAAGATAAATACCATATTTTAGATTTATATAAAAACAGATGAGCAACATACAACTTTCAGAAAAAATACAATAGGAAAAGACCAAGCACAATCAGCGACGGCTGATCACTTCTTCAGGGTTAAAATGTAAGCTTTATGAATGGAACCCAGATGCAAAGTGGCCTGATTTGACAGATTCATAATTGCTGTTCTCCATACCTTCCACTCTCTTGTTTTATTAAATAGTGTTTGTTATTTATAGTACTTATTTAGAGACAGACAATTTATCTATGCAAACTTTATTAGTTAATTTTTGGGTTTGGAGTTTGAGGTTTTTTTTTTTTTTTTTGAAAGTTAGATTTTCTGTAACTAATTTTCTAGTTATGGCCCAGAATTAAATATTTCCGATCATATTTCAGAAGTCAAAATGTAAAACTCTGGATTATCAGTGCTGTTGGTGTGGACATTTTAAGCTTTGAATTTTATTTTTTCCTAGATCTTTAGCATCATGTTATTTCAACTTCTAAAAGGAAGAATGTTTGATATGAGAACCTTACTGCTGTTAGATGAGCAAACTATGGAATGTTGGCCAAAAAAAGGACCATATAAAATAGGTAAATAATATTTTACCAATATGTATCAGTTTAAGTAATTCTTGATAGAAGAGAGTTGATATTCAAAGAAAGTCAAATAAGGTGCATATTTCAATTATGTATGCTTGAGTCTTCTGTAGAATTCTTTCACTAGACCTGAGTAGCTAATGAGATTCGACAGCAAATGTGGCCTGGTGTAAATACTGTCCCCCCGTCTATTCTTGACCCGACGTGGTGCCCACTGCAGATCTGCCCTTCATTGCTTGCTCAGAGCATCCTGGGAGGCAGGGCCACCCTTGGGAAGCATGTCTGGAACCCTCCAGCCATGGGCCAAGTACTGCATGTACTTGGGGAAAACCAATATGTGCCTGGTCTGTGCCCGGAAGCACTGAGCCAAAAGTACAGCGATTCCAACAGCCCCCGAAAGGAAGAGTTTCCCTTGAAGGGCACTATCTGACAGCCTTTCTGCCAACATGAAATTAAAATAATAATTAAAACACGCCCAGCTGACTGGTGGTAGCATCCAATACCAAAGATGGATTTGTGCTTAGAGCTCAGAAAAATGTTCCATAGAATTGTCAGCAACTGTCGTGCTTTATGCTCCCAGGTGAAGAGCTGCACCGTATCTTAGAAGGACTCGAGCGAACGGTTTCTTTGGCTGGTGGGAGGTGCGGGAAGCCCTTTAGGGAATAAAGGGAGGCCTTCTTACGAGAGCCTTTGCCTTCTGTCTGCGTGCCCGCACCTGGGGGGTGGGCCCGCAGACACTGAGAGCTGGGAGGAGCCTGAGACACTCTGCCCTCATAAATGAGAAGACTCAGTTGTCCTTTAAATGGTAAAATTTGGGATGTAAGGGATAATCTAGTTCAACCCATTTTATAAATGAAGACACTGAGATTCAGCAAGAATAGGTGCTTTATCCAAGGTCACGGAGTTCCCTGGACTCAGAAATGAAGCCGGAGCACAGCCAGATTCCTTCCTGGTACCTCAGGCCGCTCTCTCTTATCCCCTTTATGCTTTGCCAAGGTCCCTCACTATATGGCTGATTGAAAGTGTCACAAAATAACAACTGGCCTCTGTTATATATCTTTTGGTGGATGAGATGCTGACCAACCCAGGAAGAATATCACAGTTCCGGCCACGAAAGTGGGCTCCACTCCAGACCCCCTTGAATCCAGCACAGGTCAGGTGTCCAGGTCATTTGATTCTGCCATCTGAATATCACACAGCCTTCAGGAAAAAATTTTTAAAAACACCTCTGTGGAATTAATGGCTGAATGCCTACAATTTAGTTTTAATACTACAAGGAAGGTTTTGTCTCCTGTCAGTGTATTTTTGTTTGTCAAATAATGAAAATGAAATAAAGAAAATCTTTATTATCATGTGTTGAGTATTTTTTCCTAGAGTCATTTCATCTGCTTATGTTATTGCCTATAGAAAGCTGATAATGTTTGATCATCTTTTAACAGCAAAATATCTAGAACCTAAAATTGCTGTTCCACCTGAAATTGAAGTCTAAATCTGACGGACTGGGGGCTGTGGTGGACGGCACTAGGCAGTGGCGGCGGGAAGTACTGTGAGGTGAAGGGACATGCACGGGGACAGACGTCAGTGGGTCCCACGTTTCATGTTCACGTGTGGCAAGAATCTCACACTGTACAAATGACAGATCGTAACTAAGGCTTGGAAATGAGCCCTTCACAACCACACGATATTGAACATCCATGTCTTTCTACGTCTTTTCTGTCTTCCTGCAACTCATGCATAACAAGCGTAAACTTTCAACTTCACACGAACAAATCCTTTCCCCATAGAAACAGCTTCTTTTACCATTGAAAAACCCTTTGCAGGAATGGCAACGATGTCAAAGGCAATCTCATTTTGTAGAAAACCTGATTTCTCACCAGGGACTGGAAGCAGTCGTGGTCCCTCTATATGTTGTTGGAATTTGCATTTGGAAATTGAATTGTCTCCTTGAGGGTTTTCACTCAAAGTAACTTTTAGAGAATTACTTAGATCCGGGTACATCAGGGTACATGGTATGAGATTGAGCTGAAGGGGTCCCGGTGTCACCCCAGCTATAAAAACTGCTCATACTCTAAGCAGTAAAATTAAAAGTGCTGCCATTGTCGTTAGTGAAGGATATTTATCGTTTCAATTTTTACATGTCCTTTATATAACATCTTGTAACTTGCTCACAAATTTGAAGTGTTTGAGTACCATGTCACTCCCTTCACCTCTTTACTCTTAAATAGAGAAAGATGAAGGATGCCCTCTTGAGAGATGGGAAAATTAAGCGCCAGAAGACGCCTTGCCTGAATCGCTTGGTCCCTGCTTGAACAGAGACTGAGGTCCGTGGAGAGCTCCCAGGGCGAGGCTGTCTTCACTAGGGTGCTGCTTTCCCAGCTCCCCTGTGCACACATCACCTGTTGCCATGCAGGTCCCGAGTCAGCGGGCCCACAGTGGGGCCTGGGTGGCGGCGTGTCCCACGTGATGCTGGTGCTGCTGGTCAGGGAACCACACTTTGAGTAGCAAGGTAGTAGATCACTCGCCTTTGGAGAGATTCCCATCTTGCAAGATGCTGTTTATGAGGCATTTCTGAGCAACCGAGGGCTACCCAGGCGTGAATTACAAGAACAAGCGCTTGATGTAACTGCAGAAAGGGTTGTGTTTTAGCACCACGTTTTCAGCTTCTTAGCCATCCCTTCGGAAACTCTGCTGTGAGGCCGACCGCCTGCTATTGCAAGTGCTCTGGTGGCACCCGTTCCATGCAGTTCTAAACGGGACGGAAAGGAAGGGAGGAAGGGGGACAGGAGCGAACCGGGGCCACTCAGCAAAAGGCGACAGCAGCCCCTACCTGCACATTCACTGCCTTTTAAATGAAGACAGATCACAGAGGGGCCTAAACTCTTTTGGTTTTCACTCGGCTTCTAGGGTCAAATTCTTTGTCTTGCCCATGTTCTCCTCCGCTGCCCAGCTGGCAGTTCAACATCAGCCCTTTGACAGGAGCATTGAGGACAGACACTGCAGTCCTTTGCTGGGTCTCGCCGGCCGCCGTGTGCATCATTACCGGAGTATTTCACAGTTATCCCGAGGAAAGGGGAGACCCGATTCACACCCACGTTCGGATCGGGTCACTTGGAACAAGCCACGTGGCGCCACGTGCAGCCTTTGTTTAAAGATAGGTCCACAGAAATTACAGTAATTTAGGAGGCTGTGGCCTTCGTCAGGGAAAAGTTATAATCCGTGCCAGCGCTTCTTAACGTGCCACCTCAGCAGTCGGAACCAGCACTCTCTGACCCGGAGATGCAGGAAAGGGCCTCGGTGTCAAAAAGGAAGCTGAGCTGTGGACACAACCCAAGTTAGGAGTTTACAAACGGCCCGATGGAGGGACGCGGAGGCCGGCAAGCCGTGCTCCCCGGCGGCTCTCTGCTTCCCCGTGGGGACAGCCCGCCCAGGGCCCCAGGGCCTGGCCCCGCATCCTCACACGGGTCCTGCCTGTGGCTGTGGTGGCGCATGTGGCCGAGCTGCCACCCCGCAGGAGGTGCCTCAGATCTGAGCAGGGTCAGCAGGAGAGTCACCAGCCCACGGTCGTTTACCCACAGGCTGGAGCAGAGGCGGGGACAAGAAGAACTGAAAGCGACCCCTGATGACCTCAGAACATTCCGGAGGGTCATGGTTGGGGCAGAGGGAAGCAGAAGCTCCAGGTCGGGCCGGGAGAAGAAGGAGGCACCTGCTCTGCGTGTCAACCTCTCAAGCCTCCGGAGGGCCCCGAATGCCAATCTGGGACACTTTGGGGTCTCTGGGCAGAATTCTGGCCAGATGTTTTCCTTGATCGCGAGTGGAAAAGCCATGCCTGTCGGCTAACAAGGGGGTGGCCTGCCTCCGGCACGTTTATTTATTTTCACGACGTTCGGGATTCTGTCTAAGCCAAGTTAGTTGCTCTCACCTGTGGGGCCCCATTAACGCTTTGCTCAGACCTCATTGCCAGCACTTTCCATGGCGCCCTAGAGTCTATCTCTGTCCATGCTGTCTCCCTGCAGGCTGGGAGCTCCTGGGAGGCAGGGCCTGCTCGCTGTCCGCCCCGAGCTGGACCTAGGACCTACCGACATATATTACATCAACATATGCTTTTCACTTTATTTTAAAATCGGACCAACAAAACCCGGCGCAGTGCCTCAGGAGCATGTCCTCTCGCAGGGTTTCAGGGTAGGCGCTGCCCACGTGGGTTTTCCAGTTGGAAATAAGACCCGTGAGCGCTGGCAGGGACATTGCTTTTAATCCCAGGCCACAGCCTCAGGCAAGCCAGTGACCTCTCTCCACAGGAGGCTGCTCATCTGGAAAACCAGGTGGCTCATCTGAGCGCCTGGGAGCTCTCACGAAGAGGGATGGTGCCGGGCTGTGGCATCCACTGTTGGTGCAACAAGGAAATGTGTTATTCTTCACAGCAGCTTCAATGTTCTGTTGGCACTGGTCCAGCGTGCTGATTTAACTCTATCCAAAATCAATCCCCCAGGCACTGGGCTTCTTCAGAAGCCTCAATGGCTGTTCTGATCCCCACGTGTCGGAGAAAGTCACAGTCGAACTGAAGGAGGTCCCAAGAAGTGCCCGGTGCGTGGTAGGCACGCTCAGTGCTGCAGTTGAATGAATGAGTGAAGGAATACTGAACCTTTGGAAAACCAGGAGGGGCCTGTCATTTATGGATAAAGTAAGAGATTTTCACTCTTGCAGGAAGGGTTTCTTTATGAGTCTGATCATGATGGTTGCCCTGCATGCCAGAGGACTCTGTTCTCACTGGCGAAGGTGCTGTCTGGAGACTCCTCGCCGGGTCGCGGAGCCCTCGAGCATACGTATGGAAGTCAGGCAGACCTGAGTACAAATCCCACCTCGCCCACCAATGGCACCAATTTGGGGGGAACATTCTTAACCTGAGAAGCCTCAGCTTGTTTCTTTTTCCCTTTTCACTTGTCATCTGTTAAGGGGAAATTATGATAACACTGACCTTGGATGCCATCTGGCAAGTATGGACAGTACCTGTCATGATGTCCCAGCCACTAGTAACACCGGCTCCTTCCTCTCTGCCTTTAGAACGAGAGAAGCAGAGGGAGACTCTGGAAACGGTCCAGTCGGGGAGGATCCTCAAAGGAGCCCCCGTGATGCCAAGACAGTTGGTTACCGCCCTGATGGCAGTGAGAGCCCCAAGATTAGGAAAATGAGAGGAAATACCACAAAGTGAAGAGCAAGGTCTTGAAATTCATCACCCCTGTGATCTTTCTCACCCAGAGGTAGAAGAAGCTAAATTTCTTTTTAAGTGGAATAAAACTACCTTTGACAGGTCCACAGTGGCTTATTTCTAAAATCTTTGTTATATGCGTGTTAAATATTTAAACCACTATGTATTTATTATATGTATTACATTAAAAAGCAGTTAGGCTGCTTTGGGGTACAAGTGTCAGAAAATCCAACTAAAACTAGCTTCGAAAATAAGGGGGCTCATTTAACTGGACAGTTCAGAGATAGATCAAGCTTCAGGCTCAGGTTGATCAGGAATCCAGCTCCATTTCTCTGAGATTCTTTTCTCAGACTGCTTCATCAGATGGCTGCCTGCAGGAACGGGTTCTGTTTTCATGGCAGCCACACCCCACCAACCAATAAAAGGCCTCCACTTCCTGTGGATTGGGAGAAGGGAACCTATAGCTGTGTCAAGAGAAGTGTCCAAACCACAAGAAACCCACGGTGCTATTCAGAAATGGGAAAGGGGCAGGATGGATGCTGGGAAGGCAAACTACCCACCACGTAGTGGAATCAGGGTGTTCCAGAACAACTAGGACAAGGCAGAGTCCTGTTGTGGGGTGAGGTCAGGTCCTCACAAATCCCACGAGATCCCTGAAGCCAGGGACGGAGCATGTCACTGGCTCTCCAGCACCTAGGAGCAGGTCAGCCGTTTAATAAAGATCGGCATGGATAACCACATCACGGGCCAATGGGGGAACCAGGCCTCTATTCCTGTGATGCCATGGTTATTGCAAGCCTGCCTGAGCGGCCCTCTCTAAGCACACCTCTGTGGTAGAGACCACGAGATTCAGGACTCAAGTGGCAAGTCCAGGAACCCCATACTCCAGGGCCTGGGAGTCGAAGGAACTCCTCCACCTTCCACGGCTCAGAACCTTGTTGGAATAAAGTGTTCACCTCCCAGCCACCCAAGCCCCTAACTCCACACAGGTGCTGACCCCTAGGTCTGCAGGAACAGCTGGTCCCCTCTGAGGCACACCCCCCGTTCAACCCTCCTCTCCTACATGCTGTTCCTGCTGCGCTGATGGGTTGAAGGGTCGCACAGCCCTGTGCAGTGCCCTGCAGCATGGAGGCAGTCCAAGCCCCCCGA